GAGAGAGAGAGAGAGAGAGAGAGAGAGAGAGAGAGAACCTTCATCACAATACAGTCCTCTAACTCCCCAAATTTGCTCATGTATTCTCTCAATCCTCCAGTTTCCACATCCCATGGGATTCCCAAAACCTAAAGGCGACACGTTTGCAAGCACATTATCATCTACAAGCATCATAAACTCAAGAAGACAGCATTTTTCAACTACTCGGAAAACAACAGTTTGCTTACCACAAGCTTACGGTCAGCCATGACGAAAGAAGTTCTTGCAGTTACGACCTCGTGAATTTGTGCAGAACCCTCCTCTTCCTCTCCTCTCTCCCACTCTCTCTCTCTCTCTCTCTCCCCCTCTCTTTACCTCTCTCTAACCCTCTAACCAACTCTCAATCGCTCAAGAACTCTTCCTGCACACAACAACAATACGGACGCCTCTTTCTCACAACCCACATATACCATCAACGTCATCATAAGCCAAATCAAACTCACCATATTTTTCAGAATTATTTCTCAAATGAGCAAAAAGAACAATAGACAAAAACAATTCAACGAAGAAGGTAGAAATAATTGCAGAATTGCTTCGGGCACTCGCTGACCTTTTGAATCGATTGGGGATTCAAAACCCTAAATCCCTCCGCTCGGCTCGCGCACTCCACTCTCTCTCGTCGCTCGCTCAGCCCTCTCTCCTCCGGCGACTTAATAGCTACGGTGTTACTCTCCGGCGAGCTTATCCACCCACGACCTTCATTTCTGGATCTGCCATAAATATCGATTCATTTGTAGTTGGTTGGACGTGCGACTTTTTCTGAAGAGCTCGCATGCGTAACACGACTTTACAGTTATATTATTATGGAAATATCGTCAAAAACAAGTAAAATATTATTATGTGTATTGTTTTTAATAAAAAAATAAATAGTTATATGAAAATAATTAAGATATATTTTTATGTCATCTAGCAAATTGGCAATTACATTTGGCCCCATTGATTATACATGTGATTAGATGTAAGTATTTATACTATTACTATTACAATACTCGTGTATTATACGGGTGTGTGATAAAACAATTAAATGTAGAACAAAAATTGAAAAAAATAAAATGATATAGTTTGGTGAAGTTGGAAAAAATAAATAAGTAACAATATATTACAATTTAAATAAAAACTAAGTGAATTAATTTAGAATTAAAAAAATAATTTATATACATCATTAGTCTTATTTATAATATTTTTATTTAAAACATATAAGAGAATAATATGTACAAAGCAGAAAATTTGGAAAATAAGATATTAATATTATGCATATTAAAGGAATAGGATAATAAATAGAGATGGAATAGTTCAAATATATTAAATATATGTATACATGATAATCCAAACTTAAATTATTTGGTATAAAAAAATCACTAATTTTTAATAAAGTCGCATTACAAAGCATAATATTTTGTCACTTAATATTATGAAGCGTGCAAAATTGCCACTTAAATTCAGCGCGTTCTAAAATTATATATAAGGGGTACTAGCCCGAGCAAATGTATTAATATATTAAACTTAAAGTACAAGAATTTTATCACTTTAGATAGCAAAAAAGATATGTCTAATTTTTAATTATAAATTTAAGACTATAGTTTCTGTAAGCCTTACTTGAAAGATGAGTCAACAATTTTGATTTTTCGAGTCAACAATTTCAAAGACCTTAGTATAAATAGAAATATTGTACACCAAACCTTAACTTTTGATTTCATTCTCCCATCGTTCAATACACAAGCAGCCCTCATTTTTCAATTCATCTTCTCTTTCATTCTCTTTGTAACTCTTCAATCTGATGATCGAATATGGTATCAATCGCCAGTTTCTTCTGCTTCTGCAACGATTTCTTATTCTTAATCTCTCTTTTCTACACGCAAATTTGATTTGCGAATTTTTGGATCTCAATTTCATCTGATTTGTGGTGACTTACTCTGATCTACTCCGATTAGTGGTGCTTCTATGGTACCGTATCAGATCATCAGATCGAAGAGTTACATAGAGATTGAAAAAGAAGATGAACAGAAAAATGAGAGTTGCTTGTGTATGGATCGATGAAAGCATGAAAGCAAATGTTATAGTTTGGTGTACAATACATCTATATATACTAGGGCACTGGGCACGTGTGTTGGCAAAAAAAGAAAAAAAAAATAAAAATAAAATACTAGGTAACGTGTACTATAGTTGCTAGTAGAAGTAGCAACTTTACAAAGTGCAAGACTAATAATCTGTACAAGGAAATAATAAAAATACATTTATAATGTCCAACTTTACTATGAAGTCATCGAATAATCTAATAAAACTCTTGACTTGCTCAAATCCAATTTGTATCTTACTAAATTAAAAGAATGTTAGAAGTCGTTGGCTGCAAGATTGGTTGCGACGACCTCAGTGTCTGTAGGTGTCTGAAAGTGTTCATTCACTCCAACGTATCCGTTTATAATTCCAACGAACTTTTAAGCTACTTAAATTTAATTTTTAGCTATTAAAGCTCATATTTTCCACATACATATTAAGTTTTCATTTACCATAAAATAGATTTGAGATTTTTTCTAAATCGTTTTTATTCTATATTTTTTTCTAGATCTTTCGTTATAAGAAAATGGAATTGGGTCGACCCAGCCGGGCTCTGAACTAGCCCATGGTAAATGGGCCTTGAATCAAGTCCATGGTTTGACTGGGCCGCGAACCACAAATTTGTAATTGTTGAACCGTTAGGTCAATTCCAACCCAGAACCAACCCGGGGGTTTGGTCTTTTTTTTTTTATTGTTTTAATTTTTTTTTATAGTTTTTTTAATGAATCGGGCCGTCCCGCAACCGGCGGTTCAGTGAACGAGCCCGTGCCTCCATTCCCGGTTTCGGTTCCTCCAGATGGCGGCTCGGAACCGAGTTTTGGCCATGACTAACTATGTAGCTTCAAGCAAGTGCGACAAACTTTGTTACAATATCCTTGGTTCTCCAGTGGCGAATACCAAAATGAAGTTAGTCGATCATGACATGAAAAGAACTAAGCATCAACAGAAGACTCACAAATTATAATGTGAAGGCTATATACTACGAATGTACACTCCACACCATCAATAAACCGCCAGTCGAGTAGCATTGATGTAATCCTGTGGTCCATGAGCAGGTAAACCAGAGAACATCAACCCAACCAAACGAAACATTACCATCAGCAAACCTTCCTTGTACTCTGCTCCAAACATTCCTGGCAGAAGAAAGCTCCTTATCAGCTCCCAAAACGGATCCACTGTCCTTCTAACAATTTCAACAAAGCCGAAATAATCCGGCTCTTCTTTAACAACCTGCACCACATCACACCTAATTTATTACATTTATACATAATCACAAGTCACAACTATCTTCAATTATTACCTTTTACATAAATTTTACTTACCTTTGCTTCGTAAACACTATCAATGTATAGGCACTTCCCGAAATGCCTAAACGCCGAAACCGAGTTGTCGTAAGGCAATCTCGGAACAATATCATGATTATACACGACTCTATAGTACTCGACTCCGTAAAAATCAAACTTCTCTTCCATAAATCTCCCGAATTTTTCGTCCCCGACTTTCGGCTGCCCGAACGTGTAGACCCCTTTCAGCCTCTCCAACACCGTGGCCTCGTTTCTCACTGCAAGAATTGCAGAGAACAAAACGGCGAGGGCCCCGCCTAGGCTGTGGCCCGTCAAGACAAGTGTCGCGTTCTGATTGGCTTCGAAATGGGATTTTAGCTCTTGTGATAATGTGATGTAAGCGTGTAGGTTGTTTTGGACGGTGTTTTTGTCTTCGGGCCAAGGCCCGTTTGGTTTGAGGCCGAGGGCTTTAATGAAGCCCGCGTGAACGCTGCCTTTTGCGCCTGGGAAAGGGTGGCGCGATATGTCGAGGTCGGTTATCCAATCGGTGGCGCTGAATATTTCTGTGCCTCGAAAGGCGACGAAAATCGTGTTCGGGTTAGTGGTTTTGTCGAGGAAAACGAAAGCTTGTGTTGTGTGCGCCTTGTAAGTCTCTGTGAGTTAAAGGGAAAAAAATGGTTGTTTTGTTGTGAGTTGTAAAGTCTAATGAGTAGTAGGTTGTGAAGAGATTCGAATGCCATTTCATCATGTCTTAGTTCTTACCATCCCAAAAGTTGTAGGCTCCCAGCAATTCCATCTGCAGATAAATTGTGCAGAATTATTAATGTAAAATTTTGTCAAAATTATTTTTCCAAAACAGGATTTTTAACTAGAAAAAATTAAAAAAAAAAAAAAAAAAAATTT